CCAGGCAGATGTGTTGGAGGGCATTGAGGTACTGATAATGCAGCCAGACAGGCTGGTGAGTGGTGCTGGTGCCTGCAATTTTGGCGGGGATGGGGACAGAGACAAGTGAAGGAGGTGTGTCTGCTGGACGGTGGTGCTGCTGGACGGTGGTGTTTGTGTTGTGGAGTGATGTGGAGATGAAACTGGAATGTGGGTTTCTGCCATCTAACGGTGTCCTGCTTTCGTGCTATTTTTTGAACATTTGTAGTTAAAGATAAGAGATGATGAGGTTTAGGTGGTGAGCTAGGGCTTTGAACCGGGACCGGGTGTCAGAAAAACTGCAACCGTCCAGTTCTGGTTTCTGGGCCGGTAACCGGTGGTTTTCTAAGCTGTGTCTGTACCCATTCTCTCGTGATTGAGCTAATATGTTGAAGTGAAGAACCTTATTCAAATGATATTTGCAGTGTCAACCAGAAGCTATACTTTTATATGAGCTGTGCATTATATTTATGTCAGTATTTTTAATGTTCAGCTTTGGTTTGAGAATTTACCGATTTCTTGCTGTTCTTTACCGTCTCTAAGTCCATGTCAAATGTTGTTGCAGGTTGAACTCCTTATACTGTCACATCACTTCTACATGTCATCTTCTTGTCTTGATGGTGTGGATGTTCTCGTCACATTTGCAGCTAATAGAGTGGATTCATATGTTTCAGAGGGGGATTTTTCCTGCTTAGCTCGCTTGATAACTGGAGTGAGCAATTTTCACTCCTTGAGCTTCATCCTTTCCATCCTTATAGAAAATGGCCAATTGGAGTTGCTACTTCAAAAGTATTCTTCCACTGACACAGCCACAGTGGCACCTGCATCAGTTCGAGGGTTTAGGTTGGCTGTTATTACATCACTGAAACATTTCAACCCAAATGATGATGAGGCTCTGTCTCTGGTATATGTCCTCTCTCTCTCTCTCTCTCTCTCTCTCTCTCTCTCTCTCTCTCTCCCTCTCATGTTTAGCACATTCCGTAAAAAAACTTCGTTAACCACATAAACACTTCCGGGTATCATTGTGTTCTGTGTTAATTATTTTGTAAAGAATAGCTGGAAAATCCAATATAAGAAAATTAACCCAATATATACAAACATTGAGCAAACCCTTTTTCATGATCTAGGTCTATTGCTTTGCTGAAGCATAAAATATGTTGATTAGCAGTCTATCATGACAGTTTCTCATTAGTACAGGGCGGAAATGAAATCTGTTGATTAGCAGCATGCCATGCCAGTTTTTAATTAGTATGGAACAGAAATGTACTGAGCAGTAGTAGCTTGTTTGGGGGCCAGAACCATCTGTGCAACTACATGAAGAACAAAGAATATACAAGAATTCGTGATTTTGGTTTCCATCATACTTGCGGTGTTTCCTTACAACTTGGCTGTCGTCATTACGAGATAGGTCTTTCTGCTTTTCGTTATGTTCCCTTCAACATATGTGTCCGGTGCAGGTATACAAGCACTTCGACATGAAACATGAGGCGGCTTCCCTCCTTGAGTCGCGTGCAGAGCAGTACATGGAAAGCTGGTTAGATCGGCATGATAAGGAACGACGGAATGATGAGCTCCTTAAGGCTATGCATAACCTTGTACAGACGGCTGAGATTCTTTCAACAATTGACGCTGGCCAAAGGACACATCGTGCTTGCGCTCGTGCTTCTCTCCTATCTCTTCAGATCCGAATACCTGATCTTGTATGGATTGGTCTTACAGAAACCAACGCACGCCGTATTTTTGTGGATCAATCTAGGTTCCAGGAGGCCCTCATTGTTGCCGAAGCATACAGCATAAATCAGCCAATGGAATGGGCCCCAGTCTTTTGGAACCAGATGCTGAAACCTGACCTCATCGAGCTATTTGTGGCTGAATTTGTACTGGTTCTGCCCCTGCACCCACCAATGCTCGTGGAGCTTGCGAGATTTTACCGGGCAGAGGTTGCAGCCAGGGGCGACCAGTCGCACTTCTCAGTCTGGCTTTCGCCTGGAGGCTTGCCTGCGGAGTGGGGAAAGCATCTCGGCAGATCATTCAGGAGCCTGCTGCGCCGAACGAGGGATATGAGGCTGAGGCTGCAGTTGGCAACTCTGGCGACTGGGTTCAGCGATGTCCTTGAGGGCTGCAATGCAGTTCTGGACAAGGTCCCCGAGAACGCCGGGCCGCTAATACTGAGGAAGGGCCATGGGGGTGCATACCTCCCTCTCATGTAAATCATCTCTTCTTTGTCTCCAAAAGGTGGATAAATCTTACAGGAGTGTATATTACAACGGCAAATGTTTCATCATTTTTTCGGCCCAGGCGCCCGGCAACCATTTTCCTTCTTCCTCTGAATTCTGTGACGTGGATGAGGCCATTGGGGCTCCCGGTTTGTATATAAAGCATTTTGAGCCTTATAGGTTGGAGACACAGCCAATTGGAAGCCAATTTTGCAGCCTATTCGGCAGAGACGATTTTCCTGGCATGGCTGGTGACGCCGTTTCTTCCATGGACAGACGATGTTTGTAATGTATGCTACATTGTATATTTGTATCAATCCAAACTATGCAATTTTGTGGATTTTGATCTGTGGTTTGCGCCTTTTCCAGTCTCTTTGCAGTGTTTTGCTAAGCTTGTTTGCTTGTTACCAGGTGAAGTTTTGTACTCCTTCGTTTCTTTTTACTCCATGTATAAGATCTGCAAGCTCCATGTATAAGATTTGCTTGAAGTCGAGCTATGCAGAGTTTGACCAAATTTATATAAAAAATTATCAACATGTAAAATACTAGAGTTATGTAGTATGAATACTGAAGTTGTATAATATGAAAATTAATTTCATGATGCGTCTAATGATATTGATTTTTTATTGTGAATGTTGATACATTTTTTTATAAAGTTGGTCAAACTTTATTAAATTTGACTAGAGACAAATTTTATAGCATGGAGGCGGAAAAAAATTATATGAGACCAGGTCTCATATAAATCAGATGAGACCCGCCCTGATGAATGCCACGTGTCATCCATCAGAATGGGTCTCACCTGCTAATTCGTGAGACCTGGTCTCATAGAATTTTTTTCCGATGAAGGCCAAAAAGAAACGGATGGAGTAATATTTTTGAGGCGCTGTCTTGCAACCGTCAGATAACGGGATGCTTGTGATGATCACAGCCGTAAGGATTTGCTTGGTGCTGATCCAGGCCTGTCTTGCTCTTCAGGAGCGACCGGCCGCATGTGCTTAGGTACTGACGCGATCAGTAAGAAATGACCCACTATCCGGTACCGACACGAGATTTGTCTGTCTCCAACCGAACACTTCACGGGCAGCATCTTCGCCATCTCTTTCAGCTGCTAGCTCGTTCACTGGTTGGCTGGATGGTCGCTGGCGGCCAGAGGCCCGCTGCGGCAATGTCTCAAGCCCTGCGGCCGCGGTGGTCGGTGCTGTGGCCTTCTCATCTGCCGGTGATCCGCCGGGGACGTCCCGGCACAGCTGCCGTCTCCTTCAACAACCGATGTAATGGTACTCATCCCTCCTCATCTGCTTCTTGCTGGTTCTTTGATTGCTAGTTCATGTGCTGAGAGATGTAAAACCAGCGTGAGAGAGACGATAGCAGCGTGGGTATGATTGCTTTCTTAATCTTTAAAAAAAATTGAGCTAGTTTTTAAAATATAATTTAAACATGACTATCTTTTTAAATGAAAGACAAAATGGGAAGTAGGAACTCTCGTTTTTGCTCCATATAATGCTACCTTGTTTCTAGAGCTTACTAGATTCTAGACACCAATAAGGTCCCCAGTGCTTCACGGTGTAAAGGTGCTAAGGATGCCACATAGGCAAAAAATGATGTGGCAAAGCAATTAAAGAGGAGAGAAATGATTATGGTGACCTCAATAAGAACCAATGCTAAGCACGTGGGCCTATGTAAAAAGACTACCAATCAATATATGAAGGAGTTTTATTACTAAACAATTAAATAAAGGAGGCTTAACTACAAAACCTAAGCACCTGTGCATTGGGACATTAGTTGCTAAACATTTTAATGCACTTAGCACCCCACTTTAGCACCAATGCATTGGAAGAGGTCTAACGTGACGGTGTTCCCTCAGGGGGAGGTCACCTTGGCGAACAGACATTTCTCACAGGAGGCTAGTTTCAGCGAACGGCGCTATCAGGGAGTGTTTCCTAAAAACCACTCACGAAGAACACTTAGGAATTATCATGGTATAACAATTGTATTTGCCATCCTATCATAGAAAGATTTGCCATGTTGATTTTTTTGTCATGCTAGCGAAAAGAATTATGAGAAATTTACCATAGTGCAGTAGAGTAAATTGCCATGTGATTTAAGAATTTGCCATGCTGCGGCAGAAATAATTGTCAGGCTAAAGAAAAAGGAAAAATTTGCCAGCACGTTCGGGAATTTGCATGCCGCAACAGGCTGAATTTCCATGCTACACATAGAAATCGCCATACATGCTTCTGAAGTAGTTGCCATTCTACATCATAGGGGTGCCATGCTACACATGGAGTCGTTCCCTGTGGATGGTGTATGGGCGCAAATGTTTGCCTCATTCCTCGGGAGGGTGCATGGGAGTGACCAGGGATTGCCACGTGTCAATGCTTTCAAATTCACACACGGAATTGGACGTACCAAAATATGCAAGCACAGCTAGACAATAGGTATGTGTAACAAGTGTATGCAACCAAAATTCAAATACAAACAACATGTGTATGGCGTAGGTGTATGCAACCGTAATTGTGCCATAAACATCTAGAGAAGAGCAGGGATTGTGCTAATTGTGACATTGTGCTAACTCAGTCTATCTAGGTTATTCGGTCATCCAAAGAAGAAAACTGACTGGCCAAATTTAATTCGGTCTTCCAATTTTGATAATGGATTTTAGTTCGGTCTTTACGGGTTCGGTCTCTAGCTTTATTCGGTTTTCGTGCACAGGCTTACTCGTGGATCTTACCCCGACATAGTGCTCGAAATCTTTCGTTTCAGCTAGTTCTGGTGGCATTTGGGGCTACAGGGCTGCTCAATATGCAACGTATCTAGGCCCTAATGTTCAAATCTATTGGTTGTATAGTTGTGATTGATGGCGCGAGGGGTCATCGTTTCTTCGGCGTGGGGCAGTGGTGGTGGTCGTGGTCTAACTTGTCCTTGTCGTCGCAAGCAGGTGGTTAGCGATGCATAGTCGAGTGAAAACCTTGCCCCCAATCGGTGGTAATGACGCCCATGGGCGTCTTTTTCTTCTTGAATGTATCATCAAGATCTTATAACAAGGTTAATAGTATAGATAATAACCGGCTATATGAAGTTGCCACATCACCTATAGCCAATCTAATAAAATGGTTAGTTATACATGTTATGTCATTAATGTGTGGTCCATCTTCTTCTCTCACAAAGGATGTTAGAACCCATTAAGCTGACAAATCTACAACCCGCTTTTTTGTCTCTCCCCTCCAACTAAACAAAATTTTGATGTGATATTTCTTAGCCCGCTTATATCGTCCTATTATACTTTTTCATTGTATATACCGCAACAACACTACCCACATCTCCCCATTGCGACATTGTCGAAGGGAGGGGGAGAGGTGTTTGGAGCCTTGTAGTGACTCTTGAAAGGAAAGAGGAGAGAGAAAGGCTGGGAAAGAAATGAATACTAGTTAAGTAACTTTATTTTTTAGGGAAATGAATATAGTTATCTTTGATTGCAATTTTTTGTTGATAGCTTACCAAAATGGTCAGTTGGTAAATGAATATAGTTATCTTAATTGCCATTAGCTTCAACAATAGAAAATGTTACGACATGTACTCAATAAACCCAAATGATAAGTGTCACACGTGTGGCACGAAGCACTCCAGGCCTAACGCTTTTCAAAATAAAGTTGTCATCCAAAAAAAACCAATTTTTTTTGAAACATGTCATCCAAGCTGCCGTGCTTGACAACTAAACTTATCGTCATGCATAACTAAATTTGACATAAAAATCATTTGGAGTTACCATGTGTTCTTGTCACACGGGTAACACTTATGAGGGTCCCTAAATAAAAATGCAAATGGTAACACCCACACGCATTGATTCTGTTTTGCACGAATTCTAAAGGAATTTGTTGGAATTTCAGTGTCACGTAGACATTGCATGTTCTGTGGGCGTTTGTAACGCCCCGGATTCGATGCGCCAGGTGTCTGCCAGTTATTCGTCGTTGTTGCCATGTCATTTGCTTGTGTGTTGCACTTTGCCATGTCATCATATGCATTTCATAGCATGTCATCATGTGCATCTCATTTTGCATACATGTTCGTCTCATGCATCCGAGCATTTTCCCCGTTGTCCGTTTTGCAATCCGGCACTCCTATGTCATCCGGCGTCCCCTTTTTGCCTCTTCTCTTGTGCGGGTGTTAAACGTTCTCGGAATGGAACGAGGTTTGCCAAGCGGCCTTGGTATAGCACCGGTAGACCGCCTGTCAAGTTTCGTGCCATTCGGAGGTTGTTTGATACTCCAACGATTAACCGGGTAACCGTAAAGCCCTCTTTTGTTGCAGCCCAACACCCCCTCCAAAGTGGCCCAAAACTCATCTAACTCCCCTCCATGCTCTCGGTCGTTCGATCACGATCGCGTGGCCGAAAACCGCTCCTCATTTGGACTCTCCTAACTCCCTCTACTTATAAAACTAGACCCCCCTCGATTTCTCGCGCAGATCAAACCCTAGCCTCTTCCCTGCGCGCCGCCGGACACGTCCGGTCCGCGCCCGGACATGTCCGCCCGTCACCCCGTCCAATAGGAACGCGCCACGTCACCCCACCGCGCGCCCCCGCCAACCGCACGACGCCACGTGGCG